CAAAGACCATGTGAAAACATTCAGATTTCAGGAGAGAAGAGAAATGGTGGTAGACCAGGAGATCCAATCCAGGTAAAGCAAGTAGATATCATAATTCAAAATTTGCATCAATAGCAGGGAAGAAGAAAAAGTTTAAATATGGAATGAATAAGCAGAAACCTGAAGACACCAAGAAATGTGCTTGGCAGTTGAACAAAGGCTATTTGAGATAACATGCAGGGTTTTGGGCATCTGCCAGGAAATTTCATTATCTTTATTGATTTCAGAAATATAACTTATGACTCTTTTATCCCATTCTGTGGGGTGCCTTCTCTCTCTTCGTGGTTTCCTTCTATATAAAAAAGGTTTTTGTTTTGCTGAATAGTAGATTGAACTTATCTACTTTTTTGTTGCTGTCAACAACACTTTTGGTGTCTTATCCAAAATATCATGGCTAAATCCAATGTCATTAAATTTTACCCTGTGATTTTCTTTGAGTTTTAAGCTTACAGTTCTATGTTTAGGTCCTGGATGTATTTTGAGTTAATTTTTGTGTAAGGTTAAGTTCCAACTTCTTCTTTTGCATGTGGATATCCAGTTTTTCACTGTTGTTTGCTGTAAAGACTACTTTTCCTTATTGCCAGTCTTGGCCACCTGTCAAGTATCTTTTGATAATATATTCAAATATTTACTTCTGGGCTGTCTAATCTATTCTATAGGCCTATATTTCTGTCTTTTCATCAGGTCAGTAGCATACTGTTTTGATTACTATAGCTTTGCAGTGAGTTTCAAAATCTGGAAGTGTGAGAACTTGAAATTTATTCCTTTTTTATTTTTCTTTTTCTAGATAGTTTTGGCTCTTTGGGGTCCTTTGAGATTCCATATGACTTTTAGGATGGGTTTTTATATTTCTGTAAAAAAACCCCATTTGGAAGTTTATAAGAATTACACTGAATCTGTTGATTACTTTGGATGGTATTGACATCTTAATTTGCCTCCCAGTCATGAATACTGTTGCCTTTTTGTTTATTTTTATCTTCTTTAATTTCCCTAAGCAACATTTTATAGTTTTAATTGTAGGTATCTTTCACCTCTTTGGTTAAGTTTATTCATAAATGTTGCATTCTTTTTTCATGCAGGTGAAATTATTTTTAAAATTTCTTCTCAAATTGTTCATTAATACTGTGTAGAATTGCAAATGGATTTTCTGTGTGGATTATGTATTTTGCAACTGTTCTAAATTTATTTCTTAGTTCTAACAATTTGTTGCATCATCTTTAGGATTTTCTACCTATAAGATCATGTCATCCATGAACAGATGATTTTATTCTTCCATTTTAACTTGGATATATTTTATTTCTTTTTCTTGTCCTATTACTTTAGCTAGTACTTTCAATACTCTGTGTATAGGAGTGGTACAAGTGGTCATACTTGTCTTGTTAATAAATTTAAGTTCAAAGCTTTCAGACTTTTACCATTGAAGATGATGTTAGCTGTGATTTTTTTTCTATATATGGCCTTTATTATGTTGAAGAATATTTCTTCTCTTTCTAGTTTGTTTGGGTTTTCACCAGGAAGGTTAATATTAGTGAAGAAACTTTTCTGCATCAGTTGAGATATTCCTGTGGTTTTCCTTCATTCTGTTAATGTGGCATATTGCACTGATTGCTTTTTGTATGTGAAATAGTCCTTGCATTGTGGAAATGAATTCCAGTCAGTCATAATCTATGCTTTTTAGTATGCTGCTGAATTTGGTTTGCTAGTATTTTGTTGAGAAGTTTTGGAGCATTAGTTATAAGGAACACATTTCTGTGGTTTTCTTTCTTCTAGTGTCTTTATCTGCCTTAGTATCAGGGTAATTCTGGCCTCAAAGAATGAGTAAGGAAATGGTTCTTCCTGTGAAATATTTCTGAAGCATTTGAGAAGAATTTGTGTTAATTCTCCTTCAAATGCTTGTGGAATTCACAAGCGAACCAATCTGGCTATAGGCTTTTCCTTGTTGGGAGGTTTTTTTCATACCAATTCAATCTTTCTGCTAGTTGTAGGTGTATTTGAGTTTTTCATTTCTTCATGATTTAGTCTTTGTAAGTTTTGTGTTTCTAGGAATTTACCTGTTTGATCTAGATGATTCAATTTTTTGACATATAATTGTTTATAGTACTCCTTTTTTCTATTTTCTTACTGATCTTTTACTTTATTGTTCTGTCTATTGTTAAAATTTGGGTAATAAAATTTCCAACTTTCATTGTAGTGGTGTCTGTTTTCCCCTCCATTCTGCCGGTGTGTGTTTCATATATTTTGGAGCTGTGATATTTAGTGAGTACATGTTTATGTTTGTTTTATTCTTGGTGAATCGACCCATTTATTAATGTATACTGTTCTTGTTTGTCTCATGTTACATTTCTGACATTAATTCTGTTTGTTCTGATGTTAGCTTAGATACCACTGCTCTTTTTTGGTTACTATTTTCATGTAATACATTCCTCCATTTATGTGTATAAAGTATTTGTGTCCTTAGATCTAAAATGAGTCTCTTGTACAGAGCATACAGTTGGATGCTGTTTGTTTGTTTTGTTTTTACTGCACTCTGCCAATTCATCTGAGTTTTGTTTGGGGAGTTTAATCCATTTACACTTAAAGTAATTATTGATAGGGAAAGAATTACTTTTGGCACTTTGTCTTTTTCTCGTTTGCCTTATAGCATTGTTTTTTTAAGTTCACCATTCTAACTTTATTTGTGTTTGAAATTTTTTTACTGACATTTTGAATCCTTTCTTATTTTCTCCTGTGTATTTGTACAGTTATTGTATTTGTGTTTACCATGGGAATTACAGATAGCATCCTAAAGTTATAACAATTGTCTTTGTCTTGATAGAAATTTAGCTTCAATCCCAAGCAAAAAGGCCATTTTTATGTAGATATTGTGTTCCATTTTATATTTCAATGCCACTAATTACAAGTTTATATGTTCTGTATATATTAACACAGACTTACCCTTGTTTGTATGCATTTCTATTTTAAATTTTGAGGGAAAAAATAGAGTTACAAACCAAAATTTAAAAAATACATGTTTCTATATTTGATCATATCTTTACGTTTACAGTTTGTGTTTATGCCTTCTGTATTAGTCCATTTTTGGTGTTGGAATAGCAGAATACTTGAGACTGGGTAATTTATAAGAACAGAGGTTTATTTGGCTTATGATTCTGGGACAGCTGCATCAGCTGCTGGCCTCAGGCTGCTTCTATTCATGGTGAAAAGCAGCAGGCAGCTGGCAGGTACAAGCAGATCACATGGTGAGAGAAAGCAAGAGAGAGAGGGGAGGTGCTGGGGTGTTTTTAAACAACCAGATCTCAGGGGAACTAATAAAGCAAGATCTTACTCACTACTCCCACTTCCCCAGGGAGAGCATTAATCCATTCATGAGGGATCCACCCCCATGACTGAAACAGCCCCCAACACTGCCACATTGGGGATTAGATTTCCACATGAGTTTTGGAGGGACAATAACATCCAAACTCCATCAATCACCTTCATATGGCTTTGAGTTACTGTCTAGCTTACTTTCATTTCAACCTGAATGACTCTTTTTTGCATTTCTTTTAGGGAAGTTTTAGTGGTAACAGATCCTTACAGCCTTTGTTTATCTTGAGTTGTTTTAAAAAGTTCCTCATTTTTGCAGGACATTTTTACTAGAGATAGAATTTTTGATTGACAGGTTTTTTTCTTTGATCACTTTTAATATATCATGCTATGCATTTTACAAATCTTCTGAAGAAAAGCCTGTTGATCATTGTTTTAGTCTGTTTCTGTTGCTTATAACAAAATATCCGGAACTGGGTGATTTATAAAGAAAATGAAATTTATTGTTTACAATTTGATAGTCTGGGAAGTCCAAAGTCCATCTGGTAGTGGCAACAGTGACCCAGGGGTCTCACATTGCAAGATGTTGGAAGCACATAGAGCCTAGAGAGAGAGTTCCTCATGCAATTACCTTTTAAAGCCCTCAGAACCATGCTCCTGACCACTGTTTGCAATCCGTTTGCTATGGCATGATCCTACAATCTAATCACCTCTTTAAGGTCCCACCTTTCAATTACCACAATAGGATTTCCCACCCTCTACATTTACAGTGAGGCTTAAGCTTCAGTGAGATTGGGGGTTGCTCCCAGTCTATAGCAATCTTAATATCCAGGACCTCTGTACCTTATGAGTTACATTTCTCTTGCCACTTTCCAAATGGTCTTCTTGACTTTCCTTTGGACAGTTTGATTGTAATTGACTGAATATTCATATTACAAAGCAAAAAAAGAAGAAACAAAATTGTTACACTATAGGAAAATTAAAAATTAAAATTTATTTTCAATTTTAACTTTAGACTCTTTATTGACAGTCACTTTTTAAAAAAAATCCTCATTAGTCATTTTCCTAAATGGTGTGTGTGTTTGTTAGTGTGTGTGGTATGAGATGTGAGATAGGTGATTGTTCAAATGATACACACTCAGAGGTAGCTTCATCATTTAAAAAACAACAAAAAAGATTCATGGGTTAGATTTTATCTAGTTTAACATATGGTCTGTCATTGTTCACTAAATAGTTTGTAGTATTTTCCTAATATATGTGGATTCTGATTAGAAATTATACTCTGGAAAGGTTAAAGAGTTCATTAAGTGTATGTAATTAGATTTTATCTAGTTTAACATATGGTCTGTCATTGTTCACTAAATAGTTTGTAGTATTTTCCTAATATGTGTGGATTCTGATTAGAAATTATACTCTGGAAAGGTTAAAGAGTTCATTAAGTGTATGTAATAATTTATTTGATAATTTCCTTTTATAACAAACATAATCTTGCTCCAATTCTCCTGTAATTCTGTGGAATACTGCTATAAACTCACTCCTCCTACATGCCTTTGCTTAACCTTTGGACAGGTAGCTGTGATATTGCCTGTTGAGTGTTCATATAATCCGTGAAGGCAAAGGAAAGAAGCAAGTTCTGTTTAGCCAGAGGGGAGACAGTGATGGATCCCAAACGTCAGAATGTGAAACTGAATGATGGTCACTTCATTCCTGCCCTGGGATTCGGCACCTGTGCACCTCCAGAGGTAACAACAGTGTCTTCGGTTTGAGAGTTCATAAGAAAATAGACCCGGGAGAAGTGTAAGCTGAAGTGCATTGTAAAATTCTTCTTCCTGTGTGACTTTGCCGGTTTAACTTTTGGTTCTTGGTTTCAACAGGCTAGAGCTATGCCAAGTACAAAGAGGAAAGGTGGTCAGACTTTGTTCTGTATTGGAAACGAATCATGTTGGCACCCACTGATTATTCTGAACTCTGGTCCTCCCTCCTATTCCTGTGTTTCCCAGCTTGGCAGAAGAGTTGAAACTCAGCAGTCAGGGAAACTGCATGTCAGGTCACTTTCTTGGAGGTTGATTGTAATGGGAGTGGTTTCTCTGTTTATTTCTATAACTCAAAAATCTTTCCTCCTTCCAAGTGCCCATGATCCAGAGAAATCTTTGTGGTAAAAATTACTGGATTTGGGTTGCATGAGAAATAATGGGGAACATGGCAGCCCTGCTGTGGGGCATCCTGCTGAGCACCAAACAGCATATACTGGACCTGGACTCAATACAATTTCCGAGGACTACTCTCCCCTCTGGAAATTTACCTGAAGGGAAACTATAACATCATTTTGAGGCAAACTACGACCTGACAAGGACAAGTCTAATTCTTGGTTTGTGTTAATATACATTGTATTTGAATCAAAATGGTAGATGTGGTCCTCTAACATGAAGAAGCAAAATGCATAGTTCACTAAACGGAATAAAAATCTGTATTCCAGTGCTGTCCTCATACTACTTGTGTGACAAGAGGCTAGGTATTTAAACTTTGAGTCTCACTTTTTTCATTTGTAGACATAAGGAAACATAGTTGACATGAGTTTTTACTTAGTAGTGCAAAGTGTCATAAAAGAGAAGGAAGGATCAAGGACACCACTGGAGCTCCATCCTTGGTGATCTTCTAAGTGCTTGTACACCTAAGAAAAGACCAGCACAGGGATCAGGAGAGAGTCCTGAGGACCCAGAATGTACCTCTTGTAATTTCATTAAAAAATAAAGAAAGCTTTTGAAATTCTTGAAAAGAAGTGGAAAAGTTTGTATCCTTTACCATTACATTCTTTAACAAGTGCACTTACAAATATTTATCTAAATTTAGTAGAAAAGCCAATATTTTAAAATTTCACTCTAATTGTATTTTACCTAAAATAAATGGACTTGATTTTCAGCGCTGCCACCTACATTCTAACCCTTCATAGACTGCAGTTAATTTCTAATGTGTAAATCTATAGCCTTAGAATATACATATACAGTCCTAGTATTTAGTTTTGTCATCCATAAAGAATGTCTATTTAGAAAAGACTTCATTTAATAGACTGCTGTCCATAGAAGTGCTTATTATCAGTCTAGACCCTGGATGGCATTTAGGAACTTGGATTTCTCACCTTTTCCTAACTGTTGATGATGGCGACTGTACCTTAACTACTAGTACAAATATTTGGATTTTTGTATACCTGCTTTCCTTGGGGAAACTTGAATTTTGTTGTTTACTCAGCAGTTGTGTCTATGCAACCAGCCTGTGGTGAAAGGCTTAAGACTTGAGTTTCTTAAGGGTTCCTCTTTTAGGTATTTTCTGTGTATTCTCAAAATTCAGTGCTGGGGAATTTAGTGTGTTCTGTGTGAATTCACTGGGAGAGGACTCATTGAATTTTGAAGATTCCTTCTACATATCGTCCCATACCCCTTTACTCTGTATTAACTTTACTTTTTAACCTCACTAATTACTATTGTCCATGACTACAACATTAGGTTGAGTTCTGTGAGTTCTTCCAGCAAATCACTGAACCAGGAGGTGTTCTTGGGGAGCTTCAATGCCAGTGCTCAACCAGTGATGGCTCAGGACTGAAGGGGTCCTGGGGATGTCCAACCTTTATTACTAACTGGGAATGATCCAGGCAAACTGGAAGGGTTCATCACCTCATATGCAGAGCTAACCAAAGACATGAGGAACACCTGATGCTTGTGAAGGTCACACTAACTCTCAATCATGTGGATCTCCAAATACTACCTTTGTTTGTTCCTTAGGTTCCTAAGAGTAAAACTGTGGAGGTCATCAAATTAGCAATAGAAGCCGGGTTTCGCCATATTGATTCTGCTTATTTGTACAATAATGAAGACTCCAAATACTACCTTTGTTTGTTCCTTAGGTTCCTAAGAGTAAAACTGTGGAGGTCATTAAATTAGCAATAGAAGCCGGGTTTCGCCATATTGATTCTGCTTATTTGTACAATAATGAAGAGGAGGTTGGATTGGCCATCCGAAGCAAGATTGCAGAGGGCATTGTGAAGAGAGAGGACATATTCTACACTTCAAAGGTACCGTGTATGTGGTGTGCTTGTGTGCACATTTATTTCATATAATTACTTGAAGATGACGATTGTATCATTCTCTCAGTGGCTGGTGAATTATTACTTACCAATATAGCTTTCATTTGCACCCATTTATGCATTAAAATTAGGATTGAAAACAGAGAACAATGATGGATTTTCATTATTGGGATGCCTAAGTTTTGTAACTTTATGTTAAAGTCATTTTACTTTTCTGAGGCACCCATTTATGCATTAAAATTAGGATTGAAAACAGAGAACAATGATGGGTTTTCATTATTGGGATGCCTAAGTTTTGTAACTTTATGTTAAAGTCATTTTACTTTTCTGAGTCTCAGCTCAAATCATCATGGACTATACAATCAAACAGAACTGTGATCAAATTATGGCTTTTTCATCTCCTGGGTGACTTTCTAAAATTTCTTATCACTATGAATTTCAATTCTCAGGTGTTAATAAGACAGAAAAATGTAAGACAGCATTTTGGGTATTAAACCAGATGTAGCTAAAGCATCTGGAATTGTGCCCAGCAAGTGTTAACATGTTCTAAACAATTTTACCTTCAGTTATCTAAACAGAAGTGATACTAATTCTTCCCCGTCAAGCTCATGGGTGAGGGAATGAGAACAGTTTGTGAACTGTTTTGTAAAGTCAATCAAATATAATTCAGATTATGATCATTATTATTTTTTTCATAAAAATTTTATGCCTTGAGTAACTTCTTTCCATATTCAGTAGATATCCTAAAAATATAACCAAACATATAACAGAACTTTAATAGGGAGGTCAGATCATAGGAAACAAAAGAAGGAAGGGAATACTTTATGCCTGTGATCATCAGCTTACAACTAGCAGAAAAAAGTTTAAATATTAGGTAATTCAGATCAACTAAATTGGCTGTAGTATCAACTTTAAATTTCATTCTTTAACCTCTGCAGCTCTGGTGCACTTTTCATCGACCAGATTTGGTGCGACCAGCCTTGGAAATGTCACTAAAAAAACTTCAACTGGACTATGTTGACCTCTACCTTATTCATTTCCCAATGTCTCTGAAGGTAGGCAATTGTGTGATCTAATCTATTTCACTTATGCTGTCAGCATAAATATCATTTACATGGATGGTTGAAATAAGCTTTTTCTGAGGAAGATGTAGGAGTTTTTACACTAGAGAAGAAACCTAAGTAGAGCTCCAGATACCCTTTTTATTGAGTAATTTTTGAATTTTTAATGACCCACTTCCTACCACCAAGAGAAGAAATTTCAACAACCTCAAAGTCTCTGCCTCAAAAACCTGAGGAAATAGCAATGGCCATGTCCAAGGCACAGTCCTGATTACGGCCCCTGAGGTTCTTGGGGATGTTCACAGACCCAGAGTTTCCTGCAGCTGTGCCGAGCACGAAACTGCCTCCCACAAGGTGCACAAACGGTGTCCATCATCTCTCACAGTTTAAGCTGGAAGCAGATTTGGTGGTGCTCACTGTGGGTAGGTCAAACCTAGAGGCCCTCATAGGACTTGGGAAATGTTGCTTCTCCTGTTGGTTGTCTTCATGATGGAGTTTTGTACATGGCAGTTATTCATTAATAACTGGGTTATGTATATTTGATCTAGTTTATGAAAAAGAGCTTATTGAATTAAGTGGGAAGACCAAGCCATAGCTGCATTTAAAGATTTAAAGTCATCTTCAGAAATATTTCTTTTCCTCCACCCCTCATCTCTGCATTCCACATGTTTGCTTGATTTTTATCTTAGTCTTTTCCATTGGTGGCAAATATGGCTTTATGGAAATTCAAGGTTCCTGGTCATTAGCACTTGAGAACTTCTCTGGGTCTCCCCTCATCCAAATTAATCTTGAAACAAACCTCGATTGACCATGTTTCGCTCATTTGCTTGCCTTTGGACTATTATGTGTTCAGGAGCATGAAGAGCTCTGATCATCCCAACTGGGTCAAGACTGAAAATGTTATTCTGAAAATAAAATCATGTAACTTGCTGGCTTTCCCAGATCAAGACAGGCATTTCCAAAGAGTAAAGTACAGGTGCAGGCAAGTGTAAACTGAGTCACAACGAGTTTCCCACAGGACTTAAGAAAATGGTGTTTTCTAAAACATATAAAAAATGTGAGAAATTAGAGAAATCCTGTCTTCTAAAGACATTCCTTACAATTCCATGTGCAAACAAAGTTGCAAATATCACTGTCTGGAATGTTCCACCACGTACTTCATGGAGCTTAGTGCCCCAGCCCTAGACATACCTGGAAGCACAGCAGATGGTGGAGATATTTACTATGGCATCTCTGAAATAATTGCTTCTATTCCAGCCAGGAGAGAAGTCGCATCCAAGAGATGAACATGGGAAATTAATATTTGATACACTGGATCTCTGCAGCACGTGGGAGGTGAGTGCTTTGAAGAAACAGTACAGAGGAGAAAGCCAAGAGGGGGGGATCTGGTTCCCACTTGACACCTGGGAGAGTGGGGTTTCTTGATCTGCAGAAAAGTGCACAAATAATTCCTCACAACCCCTTCCTCCCCAGGCCATGGAGAAGTGTAAGGACGCAGGATTGGCCAAGTCCATTGGGGTGTCCAACTTTAACCGCAGGCAGCTAGAGATGATCCTCAACAAGCCAGGGCTCAGGTACAAGCCCGTCTGCAACCAGGTGAGCACCTCAGCCTCCTCTCATTCCCATTCTTTATGTCCTTCTTTCTGTACTGCTGCCAGGTGTCCACTCGTCCTTCCCTCCTGTTCCTCTTACCTTTGTGCAACAGGAGATTCTACAGAGCAGAGCTTCTGTCTAGACGGCGTGGAGGACCATTTATTGTATCTCTGCTTGGTAAAGTCTTAGTGAAAAAGGTGGAAAAACCTTAATGCTGAATCTTGTATTAGAATTTGGGGAGGTAAAGGAGACCAGGGAGGGCTGGAATCAATCAGATCTCGTGAGAAAGTGGAAATTCTCTGAGGTGTGCAGGATGACCACGGACTGGATGGGTGAAAGTGACTTGGAGGAAATTGTGTATAGGAAGGAGGCCATGAGAACATGGAATGAGTGGTAAATAAAGAATGAATGAAAATAAGAAAATTGTATATAGGAAGGAGGCCATGAGAACATGGAATGAGTGGTAAATAAAGAATGAATGAAAATAAGAGAGATAGGTGGTAAGGTTTATATGGGGTTTGAATGCCTGTGTCCTACATCTTGGTACCTCTGCTTTTAGGGTTCTTCTGCAGAAAAATAAACACAGGAAAATATTAACTGGATTCTATGAAAGTCATTCAACTTAGAGGGATGAAGTTACTTGTTTTCGGTGATACCTATTTATTCTGGATGAAATCAACACTGAGGAACTTTAGCAGAACATAGAGCTGACCTTGAGACTGACCATGCTTTAGTTTGAGTCTCTTCACTGCTTTTTGCTATTAAATCAACTCTATAAACACATCTGTTTATTCTGTGTCTGGTTTTGTGCTGTAATTTACTTTTTAACAATTTGGAGTCAAAGAGTGGGTGTCCTCAGTTAGAAAATATAGCTTACAAAAGTTTTGAATTTGATATATAATAATATAGCACCATGATTTTCAAATATAAATGTTAAAAAGCTGAATGTAGTTTTAATATTTTACCCCATTTTTATTATGATAATTTGCAGATATTCAGAAAAAAATTTGATGAAAATGAACTGAACACCCACTCATATTTTCTCACCTATGTTCACAATTGTTGACATCTTGCCACCTGGCCAAATATAGGTAGATATAGGAATATAAGGGTACATCTGTGTACATATGTGTAAATTTTGCCCACCTTCTACAAAATAAATTGTAGACCTGACAGTTAACCCCTGCAGAACTCAGAAAGCATGTCATAGGAATGAAGATATCTCCCCCTCCAGTTCCAGTCCCATTATTATATCTCAGGAAGTTATAGAAAATTTTCTCATATCATCCACTATCCAGTCCAGGTTCAAGTTTCTGATTGTTTCCCCCAAATGTCTTATGTTGCTCTTCTTTTTAACCAGGATACAATTGTGGTTTATGTATTGCTTTTTATATTATTTCTCAAGCTCTTCAACCTAGAATGGCCACCAACATTTTCCTTATACATCCAGACAGGTAATGTCAAATATTCTGGATTTATCAGACTGTTGTCCTGCCATGTTAGACAACTTGTTTCTCTATCCCAAGTTTCAAAAAATTAGAAGTTTAATGTGTTGTTATATTAAAGTTAGACATCATTGGCAACAAAGTGTCCTGGGCATGCTGTGTCACTGAAATTGTACCCCAGTAGGAGGCACTTAATTTCAGGTTGTCCCACTATTAGTGATGTTGGTTTTGATCACTTGCTTAAGTAAGACATATGTTTTGCCCTTTGCAATTGCTAATCGCATGTTGGGCTACAATTGTCAACAGGGGAAATCATATTCCATAACAAATTTTCACATAATGATTTAGTACTTGTTGATAGTCAAGATTAGTTATTTCATTGGGGTTTGTAAATAATTATTTTTCTGTTTAACCACTTACTTTTTTTACATTTCTCATTTGAAATTATTCTGAAAAATAAAACAATTTCCTCATCATGTTGGGATAAATTACAATTATTCCTATAACACTGGGTATTAAAGTACCATCCCTTTAATTATCAATTATCTGAGAAATACCTTACTGAAATTATCACCATCTATGTGGGAAAATATTTTTGTTCTTTCTGTAACCTTATCTCTTTCTCTCTGTATATCCCTCACTATGGACTCATGGATTTTTATCTACTTTATGTGCTGTACTGATTTTATTCATTTTTTCTGTTTGATGCTGAAATCTACCCAAATATCACCTGTGGGATCTCTACTGAACCAGTTCTCTTATTCCTCAGTCTTGCTTTCATGAGTGTTTGATCAAATTCTTACTTTTTGGTACAATTTGAGAACAAAGACACCAAGAGTTTTTGCCCTGTCCCAGATGTGGCCTTTGCCATTTCTTCTTGTAGTTGACAAAATTTTATTTAGAAACCAAAATCTGGTTGATGTGGTTTCTCATTATCAAGAACAAAATTTTTTTTTCAATGTATCAAGAAACAGGGTTACGTTTTTTTTTTTTAAAAAAGGTGATCACTAGTTGAGGTTAATATTTTCACTTCAAAGTTAATGTCACATGGTTTTTTATTCAGCTTCTTTTACTTTTAATCTTTTAAGAAATATTGATATTAGTATTTCTTATAATAAACTTTTCTCTCTTGTCCATCTACAGGTGGAATGTCATCCTTATCTCAACCAGAGCAAACTGCTGGATTTCTGCAAGTCAAAAGACATTGTTCTGGTTGCCTATAGTGCTCTGGGAGGCCAACGAGAAAACCAGTGGTAATAAGGACAAAAAGGAGCTGAACTGAACATCATCTTGTTGAAATGTTTTTAATCATGCCATACTCAGTTTCCTGGGGTTAATTCTAAAATGGCTCAAGGGGAGGGTAGAATTTCTCTTCCTGACAAGATCCCAGATAATGCTGATGCATCTGGTCCAGGGACCACATTTGAGAAGCTCTGGTCTAGGGTAGATGCCTCAGTCTGTTTTGAGAGTCTCCTGTGAAACAGAATACTCAGCCTCAGGAGTTCAGCATTTCTGCCTTTCCTTCCAGGGTGGACCCAAACTCCCCGGTTCTTTTGAGTGATCCAGTTCTTCGTGCCATGGCAGAAAAGCACAAGCGGACTCCAGCCCTGGTTGCCCTTCGCTACCAGCTGCAGCGTGGGGTGGTGGTCCTGGCCAAGAGTTTCAATGAGAAGCGCATCAAGGAAAACTTGCAGGTGATGAGCGGGGCTGTGGGCATCGGGCTCCCGCACAGCCCCCTGCAGGCTTGTGCTTCTTTGTAAGGCTCTCAAGACTTCTTTGAGCCAAGTCGATTTCCCTGGAATTTCCTATGAATGTGTTTTTTGATCATTTAAAAGGGTTTCCTCCTACTCTACAATATGAGATGTATCATGGCTGGATAGAATCAATATTAGACATAAAACAGAGTTTTGGGTTTCAGCATTAAGTTATCAATTTATTCTGTAGCCCTGCGCAAGCGACATCTCATTTTCTTCATTTTCTGAAATGAAATGTGTTGGATAAGGTGATCTTCAGCCTACAAATTATAATGGTCCTATTCTGTATTTCTCTGAATACTCATGTATTTAGTTTTTATATATTTATTGAC